ATATGAGTTGATATTATATTGTGAATTTCTATAGTTGAGTGATAATTTGAAAAATAGATGGAAGAGAGCACTAATTTAATAACTAATTAGATTTTTTTCCATATATATATATATATATCACGCACTCACTCATCGTGACTATTTGGTTGGCATTTGAGCGGTCTGTTCTAAGTTTTATGAGATCACGAGTTCAAGTCCGTCTGAATGCATTTACCTTGAACCGTGGGATCGAGAGGTTAGACACATGAGAGTGACTGAGGCTTCGTATCTTAGCCTTCACTCGTTCTATTCAAAATTATATATAATTAATTAATTAATTAAAAATGTATGTTTGAGAGATGAGAGAGAGGGAGAGAGGGAGCTTCGAAAAAAAACGTGTTCAAAATTAGGGTTTAGCCAGGACCCCTATTTATTTAATATCTTCGGAATTGTTCGGTGGGGAAAAAAATCCGGTTTTTGGAGGGGGAGCCGTGGAGCTATTTGAATCACCGTTACCCTTTACCAAAATCAAAGAAGGCTTTCTCTCTCCTGTGGCGGCTCTCATCATCTCTCTCTCTCTCTCTCTCTCTCCTAGGGTTTTCTGTTCTTCTTCTCCACCCCTCTTTCTTCTATTCTTCCCTCTTCGGTTTCACTTTCGAATCATCATCTGCTTTTCACTCAGCTCGGCGTTTCGAGATCCAACCATGGCGGCCGTTGCTTCTGCTGCAGATCGTATGCTTTTCACCATGTTTTTGTTATAGATTTTTTTCTTTTTATAAATTTTTCCGTTTCAGTTCGGTTCCGTTTCGTTGGATCTGAATATTTCTTGAGCTGATTCGTTACTGTTCATTCGCGCGCTGGGATTTGGAGGGCTTAACTAGGGTTTACTTCAGATCAGAGATCCGGGCTTTTGAAATATTTTTACATTTATATTTATATATTTTTTTTATTTCGCGCCTTTTTTATTCTCTTTTCGCGGTTTCTCTATATTACTAGAATTGGATATGCGATCTGAAATCTGGAAATTGCAATTATTGTTTTATTACTTTATTCGTTCTCTTCCACAGAAGCAACAGAATTGCTTCAGAAGCTGTCAATGGAATCCAAGAACAAAACGCATGAAGGTCATGAGGTATCCAAGAAGGTATCTTTTTCCTATAATTTGGATTTATTTGAGAATCAGAGTGATAATTTTATGTATTCATTTCTAACAATTATTGATTATATTACTCAGTCTTCTGGAATTCAGTATGGATCTTCAAATGGAGTTGAAGCACCTAAGGCTCAGATGCCACTATCAGAGCGTTCTGTAACTCCCGTGCTTCCTGAATATGTGGATCCTAATATTTGCTATCTTCCCAATGGATATCCCTCAACTGCTTATTACTATGGAGGTGATTAAATTTTTTGCTTATAGTTTTGTCTAAATTCAAATTTTTTGGAGAATTTACATACATACCGCATAATTTTTATGTATTTATATCTAATAGTTAAAGTTTGGCTTTTGCGCTTTTAACACTTTGATGGGATAAACCTATGCATGAAAAAGTGTACTTCACTGTTAAAAAGTAATGGTGGTATTATTTTCTGTGATATTAAAGATTTGAGGGTTATGAGTGTAAATGTGAAAGTTTATGAGTTAGACATGTAAATACAGAAGAATTGTGTGGCATGTACTTAGAGGCCACAAGGTTTTATTGGTTTTTAGTTGTTCTCCACTTTTGTTTTTATCATATTTGTCACTTAAAATTATTGATATTTATTGATTTATTATTCAATTTTTTTTTTTACTTATTAGTGCTATGTCACTTGAGCTGCTGTTTTAGTTTCTTCAGTTATCTTGTCATTTGGGATTTCATAACATTTCACTTGGCTGTCTATTGCAGCTTATGATGGTTCAGTGAACGAATGGGATTATTCTAGATATGCGGAAGGAGTCGAGGTGCCACATGTAAGATATTTTACTATTTAGATTTATATTTATACCGGTCTGGCGATGAACCGACTATGTTTTTCATTATTCTCGACAAAAAATTCATGCATTTTTTATGATTCATCGATGTCATCTTTTCACATGTTATTTTTAATGCTTATGTAACAATTTCACATCTCTTCAACATATTATTGTTTTATTGGTATTTGCGATATTTTAACGTGTTAATATACTTTTTAATGTTTATTTTAACTCGTTAATATAGAAGTAGGAGTGTTAAATTGGGTTCACTGATCTATTCTGAAAATGCGTGATTTGATTATATTCAACTCTTGGTTATTATGATACACAAAACAATTGAGCCGAGATTTGACTAGATAAATAAAAATAGAAATAAATTTATAATCCACTCAGTTTTTATTAAAAAAAGGTGAATAGTTAAATATATGTATTTTCTCGGTTAACTCGAAACCCAACAGAGCTTGAACTCAACTCCATTTATTTTGGATCACTTAAGCTGACCATAACCCAATGCCAAATTTTATATGAATAGACTTGAACCCAAAATTTAGATATCATGTTTGAGTTAGTTTTTGTATTCGTTCCAATATTAACACTTCTATATTTAAGTCTAGTAAGAAAAAAGGTAATTTACATATATCTGCGCAATTCTTACATATGCACCAATCTAACTCCTAAGCTTTTATATTTACATTTATTTCATTATAGAGTCATAAACATATGCATGAAAATGTATATTTTTTTTTAAAGTAAAAGTGTTATGTACTTAAATGAGCTACTTTTTGAGGTGCTTTAACACGAAGAATTAGGTTATGCTTTCCTTTTGTAGTTTGATGTTTATTTCCTTGTCTAAAAACTAAAAATTAGCTTATGCTTTCCTTTTATGGTTTGATGTTTATTTCCTTGTCTAAAAAGTAAAAATTACATTGCCGGTTTCATTCGTACTTTTCAGGGAGTTTATGGTGATATGTATCACCACGGATACGGATATGCACCTTATGCCGCCTATCATCACTCTTCCGGCTCTCCTATTCCATCTTTGGGTCACGAGAGCCATATATATGGCGCACAACACTACCCATACCTTTCGCCGTATACCCAGCCGCAAGCAGCCATGAACGGAACTTACTCTTCCAACAACTCCAGTCCTCCGACAGATATTAACTCAGCCGCCATGGGGGATAAACCTCCCGTCACTGTTGAACCCATCAAATCTAACGGGAACAAGGAGTACGTGCCTCTAAAACAAAGCCCGCAAAATTCTCCTTTGACGTCTAACGGTATGTACAGCAGAGGTTTTTCGGTTGGCGGACTCCCCTCTTCTGGTTACCAGGACCCAAGGTTTGGTTATGATGGCGTTCGATCGCCCGTTCCGTGGTTTGATGGACCTACTTTATCTGATCCTTATGCCAGATCTGCTACTCCCAATGCCGTATCTTCAGCTACACCGCATAATATTAATTTGGAATCACCTAGAAATCAGAATGCTCATTCGTTTCCTCAACTCATGGTATTTTAACCTGTAAATCATTTGTTTTTCTAAGCAAAACATATCTACATAGCACACAATTCTTATGTATTTACATATCTCACACCTAAGCTTTCATGTTTACACACACAACCCTCAAACTTTTAATATCACATAGAGGATAGCACTATCACCACTGTAAAAGTGAAATACACCTTTTCGTGCATAGGTTTAAAACAACAAAGTGCTATGTAGGTCAATGTGAAAGTTCACGTGTGAGATATGTAAATATATAAGAATTGTGTGCTAGGTATGTATGTTTCTCTTTATAAATTGATTTTTGTGAACATCTTCTGTTCAAATTTTTCTTTAGGGGCATTTACATACATACCACACAATTCTTATGTATTTACATATCTAACACTTAAACTATCATATTTATATGTATACCACTTAAATTTATAAGATCAGACAAAAATATCACCATCACGATTACGTTAAAAGTGAAAGATACCTTTTAATGCAGAAGTCTATGCATCAAGGGGCTATATGTTTAAATGTCAAATTTTGGGTGTTAGATATGTAAATACATGAAAATTGCGTGGTATGTAAATTTCCCTTTTTTGGGGGCATTCACATGCTTACCACCCAATTCCTATGTACGTAATTTTTACATTTATGCCACCTGCTTTTTTGGGGGCATTCACATGCTTACCACCCAATTTCTAGGTATTTACATATCTAACACAAACTTACTTTTTACATTTATGCCACCTATTATGCCACCTGAATATTTCATATCACATAAAAATGTTACTATTTTGACTTTTAAAATGTGAATTGCACTTATTCTTGCAAAAGATAGGTTGCATAAATTTAAAAAATGAAATTTAGGTGTTAAATATGTGAATACATAACAATTGTATGTTATATATGTAAACTTATACTTTTTTTAATGCTCATGACATGATCTTGATTTATTAACATGTAACTCATGTAATATTTGTTTTATTACAGGGCCTCAATGCTACTAGACCAACAACAGGTCATGGTATCATGAACAGGATGTACCCAGCCAATCAAATCTATGGACAGTGTGGTAATTCTTACCGGTCCGGTTTTGGGTTCGGATCGAATTTGTACGATTCTCATCTCAACGATCGATGGGGAATGTCGTCGTTTGACGGAAAATACAAGCCCAGAGGCCGCGGCAATGGCTTTTACAGTTACGGGAATGAGAATTTCGATGGATTAAGCGAGTTAAGCAGAGGACCGAGAGCAAATCGCTCGAAAAATTACAAGAGTCCTCTCTCTAATGTCACCTTAGCAACGAAAGGGCAGCCCCTCCCTACAAATGAAAGCATTGTGGATCCCAACAGAGAACAATACAACAGAGCGGATTTCTCCGATATGTACTCGGAGGCGAAGTTTTTTGTGATAAAATCGTATAGCGAAGACGATATTCACCGGAGTATAAAGTATAACGTGTGGGCCAGTACGCCGAATGGGAATAAGAAGCTCGATGCTGCATACAAGGAGGCGAAGGAGAAGGGAGTCGAATGCCCAGTGTTTCTATTTTTCTCCGTGAGAATCATTTTCGCTGTTTGGTTAAGATTTGAGTTATTTAAATTTTGGGGCATTTACATACATACCACATAATTCTTATATATTTACATGCATAACACCTTAATATTCATATTTACTTGTATACCTCTCAATTCTTTAAAATCACACGAGCAATACCACCATCACTGTCTTTTTTAAAAGTGAACTACTCTTTCTCATGCATAGGTGTAAATATCTAACTTTGGGTGTTAGATATGTAAATACATTAGAATTGTGTGGTGTGTATGTAAATTTCCATTACCTTTTTTTACTTATGGTGATCTTTCGATTGACTGAATGGCAGGTGAATACGAGTGGGCAGTTTGTCGGTGTCGCCGAGATGGTCGGACCCGTCGACTTCGATAAGACGGTTGATTACTGGCAGCAAGATAAGTGGAATGGTTGCTTTGATGTTAAGTGGCATATTGTGAATGATGTGCCAAACAATATTCTGAAGCACATAACAATTGAGAGCAATGACAACAAACCTGTTACAAACAGTAGAGACACTCAGGAGGTGATTAAAAGTGTTTGGAAGATTTACATACATACCTCTCAATTCTTATGTATTTACATATTTAACACTTATGTATTTACGAATCTCAGACCTAAACTTTCATATTTACATACAATAGCACTTTGGTGCTTTAAAACGGTGCATGAAGAGGTGTATTTGATTTTTAGAAAAGTATTAATAGTGCTATTTTCTATGTGATATCAATGGTTTGAATGTTATGTGTGTAAATATGAAAGTTTGGGTCTGAGATATGTAAATACACAAGAATTGTGTGCTATGAATGTAAATACCTCTTTCAATTATTACATACATACCAACTTGCCCATGCAAGAAAAGTTGCCTTTCACATTTTAAATGTTAAAATGGTGTGATAGTTTTGTGATGCGGTATGAGAGTCATGGGTGATTTTTTTATAAGAGTTAAAGTTTAGGTGTTAGATATGTAAATTGATAAGA